CCCCCCCCCCCCCCCAGCTGTCTTTCGGCTGGTGGAATGCACCAGAGAGTATATTACACCGGCTGGTGGAATGCACACCGGAGTGACCCACGAATCCTTCCTCTCGCGCGGTCAGTGATGGTTACAAGCGGAGGCTTGGCGAGAAGGCATCTTTAGACGTTGAAGACAAAAGAAAACTAGAACGAGATTGTGCCATTCTGACGCACTTTATTAATTACTTGCGTAATACGGACAGAATATTGTAAGGCTCCAAGAAACGGCGATTTTTCGACAGAAATGGTTCCTGAAATAGAAAAAGTGGATAAATAAGTAGTAAATGACTTCCTACAAATAACTTAGTTAACGAGAATACGTTTTGTGGGTCCTTGATACCGAAAAATTCGTTTACAGCAAAAAAAAAAAAAAGTCTGTCCAAGAACTAACGACTAATACCACAAGCCGTATTTTTACCAAAATTAGTATTACACCTATTACCGAACTTGACCTTTTTTCATTTTGGAGCATACTTGAAATGAAGCCTGAACCTTTTCCAAAATTTCTCATAAACAGCTTAGTGTTCCTTCGTTTTTGCTTGGATAGTACGAAGTACTCTAACAAAAATAGCACAGGTCCAATTTTTGTGGAACTCAATGCATTTTCAAAAATTGCATAAAGGACAAACAACGTGAGAAAATGTGAACTGTCATAGCATCACTCGTTATGCAATTTGATGTCAATACTATAATTTCTGATACATTTTAGCCTTTTAACATTCCAATCTTGCTCTACTATAATGCTGAAGTCATTATGCACTTAAGTAAATAACTAATTAAGCGACAAAACATTAGATTTGTTTTAATTTGAAATCTGTAGAGAGCAATGATAAAAACTATCCTTCGTATCGATATCTGAACACAGCAAAAGGACCTAAATATAGAATAAGGTGTTGGTTATAGTTGGTAAAATGTGTTAAGAAAATGAAAATCAATTATAAAAAACAGTTATTTTATTGGAATTTCCTTCCATAATAATGCATAGTTGTGAAAAATAGGATACTATATATTTCACGATGTTAAAATAATATCAGGTAAAGTAAAAGGGACAATGACAATGAGTGAATAACTGATGAAAGGACTTCCTAATGCTGATATGGCTATAATAATTTTTCTGGATAGATTCCAATATTTCAAGACAGAATGTATCACTTCTTCCTGTGAACTCACAGTTTCCAAAAACATTAATTATTAAAATACCAATTCTGAACAGTTTTTATATGTTCTCACCTCTGAACTAAATCAACTGAACAATAGTGACTACAGAGCTGAAAATGATTGCAGATTATGAATTGAAGATTAAAATACGAAGGTAAAAAATTCAACGTATCAATTTTTTTTAACTGAGTTTCCAAGCAAAATCATTCACATTGTGAAAGTATTGTAACTACCGTGTAACAAATATTACAGCAAATCAGTGTTCATAACTTCAAAAATGTTCATTTTTATTACATTAAGTTAAAATGTTTTGTAAAACAAAGTTTTTACAAAAGAAATTGCAAGAAGCAGGTCAAGTAAATGCAAAATTAGCAACCACATGCTAATGTAACATACAAAATAAAATTCAGTTCCTCTGAAAAGTACATTTTATTTGCAATGACCATATTTCATGAACTGAACTATTTCTCATATGTTTTCAAGTTCTGCAGGAATAGGAATCTTCCGAAGTGCTGCAAACTTTTTTAACGCTTCATACTTGACATGAAGGGCTTCCACCTCCTCACGCATCCGTGTATTTTCATCTTGCATAGCTTCCATATCACGAACTTCTTGAGTTTTCTCACTCTCCAATTCATCCTTTTGTTCAATTCGTTTAATTCGACAACTGAAACAAATAAGTTTGTAAATGTTCTCACAAACATGACAGCATTAAAGTTAACTTTCACAATATATATGAAGTCAATATTATTATTGGGGGCAAGATGATAATATGAAGGGTATTCAATCATAGAACCTCAGTCCTAGCCAAGTAGTTATCAACATTTTGTTTGGAACAAAATTACTCTCAAAGCAAATTTTCTGCTAATTACACATCCAATATGTCATCTTATATTGTTGCTACTTTTAATTCCTCATTTTCTTCCATTTATTGTTAAACTAGTGGTCTTACAATAGCACAAGTAACAAATACTTTCTGGTATTTAATGATTGTCCAGCACTAAACGCTTAACAATCTCCGAAAGAAAGAAAAAAGAAGAAGAGAAAAATCATACTTTGTACATCAATTCTTTTATGTTTTGTTTGATCAAAAGCGATTTTTAATTTTTTTAATTGTAAATGGATTATTGCTGTCAGCCATTTTAATTTTAAGCCGCATGCCATTTTTCACATTTGTAGATATTTACAGATTTGTAAATTACTCAACGCTGAATTATTGTGGTTTTCTCATTAAAATGCACGGCCTACTAATCAAAGTGCTACTTACCTATTTCATCAGTTTCTTTTCCAGGAAATAATTGCAACCAAATAAAGCATTAATGAACAAATTTTAATTCACATTGGGAAGAAGTAGTGACATGGCATAATCACACTATTTTCCAGACAGTTTAAACTCAAATATATCTTGCTTCAAAATAATAATACTTCATTATAAATAGTAAAATATAATATGTTAGTGTAATGAAGTAACAAATACCTAACATTTTGCGAAGTCACAAAATAACTTTGCAGTTTCCATTTAATGCAAGCTTATTTGGTACGTGTGTTGTCTGTATTTGTTTGCATGTTTGCTGTGATGAAATGGGAGTCGCCAACATTAGCATTCAAGTTTTTATTATTTTGTATTCACGGTTTTTTTGAGATGACATTTGAGTTTTTAATGGATTATTTGATACACAAAATTATGTTTTGTTAGTAAACATATAGTAAATAAAAAATATTTAAATGTTTTGTGAGTTTTCTATATCCTAGTAGGTTTTCTTGAGCTGAGGAAAGTTAATTTTGAGAAGAAATTTTTTTAAAGTTAGAGAAACTTCAGAACATTATTGCTATGGTACAGAATCCTGTTGTTTGTCATTGAGAAAAATTGGTTCAGAGTTGCTAACCACATTATGACAAGACAAGCCCAATGGCTTGTGAAAAAAATGATCAATTCTAGTTTACAAGTGTGTTGTAGAAGATACTAATTAAAACACACAATGTGCTTTGCGAGAAGTGGGTAAATGTCCAAATTATGCTCACAATTGAGGAATAATTATGCAACATTAATATTTCTGACAGATCAACCTTCTAGAACCACTTTACATGCATGAATGTAGATCATGGGAGATTGAACATAAGGCTGTGATAACTTATTACCAGGTTCTCATGGAATTTGCAAAAAGATGAGGATGAAAAGACCATAAAACCTGGATTACATTTGTAATTTGAGTTGCTTTGGATATACTCTTAATGTCCATGATCCCTTTTCTCTTTTGAAAATTGTCTACAGTACAGATTTTTTAAATTACATTTGCAAGTATGTTTCCAAAGACTACTTCATTTTGTTTACTCTGAGAAGTAGACACTTTCTGACTTCGAAAGGGAGAAAATTATTGAATACTGGACGTGTTAAAAAATCACTTTAATTCAAATCTTGTACAACAAATCCCAAATGTAGGGCACTTAGGTAGTTCTAATAACTACTTTTATTCGAGAAAGCTGTAATGCTAATTTTTTTTTTTTAAATCGTATGGTATTAATAGTAAATTTCTTTCATAGTTTTGTAACCGATGAAAAGGTAGGACCGTCATTGGGGCTCACCTAGCGGCGTAGCCTCTATTCTTGAGCGTTCGCCGCCGCTGTTTCATGCGTACGATCTCTTCCCGCGTGAGCCCACGCAGCTTCAACTGGCGATTTAAGTCGCGCACCGATATGGAAACCAACTCATCATCGCTGATGTCTAGCACAGGTCCAGGGGAAAGTGGAGCCTACAAGGCAAATACAGACAATATATTAAAGCACTGCAATCCCGAAATACTTCAAGCAAGACGGCCAATGTACCTGGTTTTTCTTGCTATCTTTTTTTCCGTCTGGCGGCATAGTTTCTTGCAACGAACGCCTGAAGCTTGGCAAATCTTGCCTCCACCAGCAATAACTTTTGCTTCGTCATTCTCCTGCGTCTGCTCATGGAATGACATTGCAAGCTATAGTGGCGCTCCACTTGGTTGTCGCTGAAGCTGCGAGAGGCTCGTAGGAGTTTTTTGTCAAAGACCTTTTATACAATATAAGTGTACAGTGTAATATCTACTATTTTATAAAATATTTCTTTTATACATTGTTTGGATAAAACGTAGCCTCAAACGTCCACGTTTTATCATAACATCATAAACATTTTCACAACGCTGGGCACACAATTCCCCCACTATCAAGAAAGCCTGGTAGTGACGTCAGTGCTGGGTGTTTGCTATTGGTCGACCACATCTGGCATGGAAGCTGCTCATGACGTGCGACTACAAAGAGCGTTGATTATGCACTATGGGCCGGTTTCAAAAACAGCCGAGTAAAGTTGAGAGTAGTTACCCGAGAGTAACCATTTACTCATAGTAACTCTCGAGTTGAATGTGAGCGTTTCACCATGCTTCTTGAGGGTTATTTTACTCTAGTGTACATACTCTCCGATTTACTCCGCAATTCAGCTGAACACACAATATTTGAGAGCGATTCAAGAGACTGTGAGCAAGAATGACGCTGGGAACCAATGCGGACCAACGCGAACTTTTGATTAATTCCTTATATTCTATCATTAATTTCAGTTTCGGAGTTCTTGACGTTATAATCTGATGTAGTGTTATGGCGGTTTGAGTTGGCGTAGCTTATTTCCTAGTTTCTGAATATTTATTTGTTAATAAATATCCATTCTTCTTCCCTGGAGATGAGTTTCTATTTTGCTAGCAATGTAGAAAAATCAAATTTGCAGTTTGTTTCCCGATGGCGGTGCAAATGGATTTTCTATAACGAGGAAACGAAAATGTTTAGTTTTTTCAAATGTTGCTGATATGGTGTTTTTTCTAAATTTTGTTATTATTTGTTGTTTTACTTTTATTCACCTTTCAACTATTTGTAGTTAAAATGTTGGAAAGGGATTCTGGAACTCAAGAAAACGTGGGCAAATGATCTCCCCCATACGTCACATACAGTTTTTACTGAATAAAAAAATGAATATTTCTCAGTACTTGTAGTTCCTGTAGTTATTATTTTTCCTTCTGTTGTCATACTCGGTACGTACTACCTTTATTTCGTATCCACATGGGAGAAAAATAACTTTAGAAGTTCTCTACAGTTTACAATGTATCTGATGAGGTTAAACTGCTGATTTGGTCAAACATAACCTCATGACACATTCTCGATCGTCATAATTAAAACCAATCCATTCTCTCTCGCACCCTTTGTCTTCGCACTAGTGGATAATATTCCGAATCATTGCTGGAATCGTCTTCAAATACTATCATTCGTAATCGTCGAACCGTAACAACACTTCGGAGGTACATGCACGTTGAAAACTGAATTTACTCCATACTTTACCCGACGGATTTTCGCGGTGTAAAGTTACTCTCGTGAAAGCGATTTACACTCGAGTAAAGTGTTGGTGAAACGCTCCAAGAAGTTACTCTCGAGTAAACATGATTTACTCCAGAGTAAACTCTTACTCTGTTCGGTGAAACCGGCCCTAGGTGGTATATATCCACAGGTTTGTTGAGCCCCGGAATGTTTACCCTTATTCCTTTTTCAAACATTAGTTGCATTAAGAATAAATGACAGCAATAAGAGTTGGGGACAAAATCTAGTGACGAGGAATGTTCGCTTCCGTGTATTAAAAATAATCTTGCACGGAAAAATGAACTACAAATTCGACGTAAAATTCCTTTCATCAGAATAATCAAACTCCCCACTCCTCTCGAATCTAGGGAAGCGAGGGCTCAAGAAAACGTGCGCCCATAATACCGCTTTCTTTATACTCTTTGCCTGCGTAACCAAAGAGTATATATCGTGTGCGTAACCAGTAGTGCTATCTGTCGTTTTGCGGCAACAGCAACGACAAGGCAAGGCGAAAGCAAATGTGAAGGAAGAGTTTACTCGGAATTTCCTAGTTTAGCCGGATTCGCTTTGTGCACGTGAAGTAACATCATCAAAGGTGAAATTTTTGTCTAGCAGACATATCAGCCTCAGTTTGAAATTCGTTTTATTTTTTTGAAACTGGTAAGTCTTGTAGACTGTTGTCTTTGTCTCTCGTTTTTCTTGTAGTTACGGATAAGTAGGCCTTACTGAATCACCACGTTTATGCCAAATGTTCAGTTACAAAATAATTACCGTGAACTTCATACATAAGCACAATACTCGATCATTTGATGCTCCCCCGGTGAAAAACTGAAATTATTTGTTTGTTTTTTTTTAGTTGAGATGGCAATTTTTATGACAGAAAAGAGAGATATGACATTAAATTTTCCCATCTTTTTGTGGTGTTACAAATTGGTTCGAAAGTAGTGCGCTTGTTGTTTTAATGCTCTCATTGTCTTGCATGTCGTTCTTGGAATTGGTTATGATTTGTCATTTATTTTTGTGTGCCTGACCTATATAACATTTTCAGGATTCGTAATCATGCCGTCTGACGCGAAAAAGAAAATGCAGCAGAAGAAGAAGGAAGCTGCAAAAGCCAAACAAAGTGGTAATAAGAACCAAGGCAAAGCCAAACCTGCTGAAAAGGAACCCAGTCCTAGTAATTCATCAGTGAATGGAGAAAATGGTGTGAATGAGATAAGTGCAGAAGGTAATATTTTGAGTGACTCAGGACTGTTGATTTATATTCTTAATTGATGTTGCTGTAGTTCTTCATATGCGGTAAGTTGTATCATTATTAATATTGGGGCAGTAAGAAACTCTTCTCATCAAAGGACTTGTCAGATTTCTCGAATATTTAATGCTTACATTTCTTCAATGATTAATGAAAACTAGAAAATTTAAGTCTATTCTTAAAAAAATCTGCTCATTTCTTGTAGATTGGCAATGTTTTTTGAGGATTCAATGGGTGATTTCTTTATCTTGAGCAAATGTTTGAATACAATCATTTTTAAAACGGTTCCATTATTCTTACAGTTTACCTGTATATTCTTGGTGTTTTTAATAATTGGGTGTTTTCCATTCTAAACATTTCCCCCCAAAAATGTTGCTTCAGATAATCTGTAATAATTGCAATGATGATGTAAATGTTTTTTTGTGTACAAATTTTATTTTCAAGAGTCATTCTTATTAATTGTTTGCAGAGGCATTGTGTTTAAAGCTGGAGGCTGATGCAAAGCTGAATGCAGAGGCTCGAGCATGCACAGGCAGCTTGGGTGTTCACCCTCGTAGCAGAGACATCAAAATCAGTAATATGTCCATTTCATTTCATGGGCATGAGTTGCTTCAAGACACTACTGTGGAGTTGAATTGTGGAAGGCGTTATGGATTGTTGGGCTTGAATGGAAGTGGTAAGATCTCAATATTTGTTATTTTGATTGTCTTCATATGCATATGAGGTATCCAAAGATTTTTATTGTATGTTTATTTTTATTTATTTAATTATGAGTCTTTCACTCTCTTATATGCAGAGATAAGAGAAAGTTCTACAAAAACTCAATGTGGAGAATGTGATCATAATGCGCATTTTGGGGGTCCCTGATACAAAATGGTGTGTTTTCTTCCCTTTTATCCTTAACATTTGAGATTACTCTCGCTAAACTACACTAGCACCTTGTTCACACGATTTTCTCAAAAAATGGATACAGTGGAATCTTGTTAGTTCATTTTTTAATGGAACCAAATATTTTTAATGTCACAAGTGGGAAAATGTGCTAATAAAAAATATTCGTTTATCCTTAGTATTCAGTTCCATCAACGAACTACCAAAAATTTGGAAAACTAATGTATATGTAAATAAAATTATATATCCATGTGATGAATTATTTTACTCATACATGACATTGAATAAAACTAAATCACACACAAAAAAGGCACACTGCCATTCTTCAACATAAATGGTAACTACTAGGATTTATTTAACCATGCACTTGATGTAAATCAGCTGTTCACAGATTCATCCAACAGCCTTGTGTTAATAAATGTATTTGATGGAAAATATGCTGGTTAATTGAGCCTCTTTTGGGCTCAATCCAATCTAGTTCCATATTCTATTAATTTATTCTTTTTATTTTAGTGGCGTAATGTAGTTTAATATCAACAAAAGCTATGTTTAAATACAATTTTTTAAAATTAAAATTATTTTGATATATATGTAATAGCATCTTCATTTGATGTTGCATTACAAATTAAATTTAATAATATGTATTTTTATATTTTCTAGGAAAATCAACATTGCTTTCAGTATTGGGTAATCGTGAAGTTCCTATCCCAGACCATATTGACATATTCCATTTAACTCGAGAAATGCCCGCATCAGATAAGAGTGCTCTGCAGTGTGTTATGGAAGTTGATGAGGAGAGAGTAAGATTAGAAAAGCTGGCTGAAGAGCTTGTTAGTTGTGAAGATGATGGTAAGATTTCCTTCATTATTTGTAGATCCTTCCATGTTCTGTGATTGGAAGTGCTTTAATTTCAAAATTAATTTATGTTCTTCTTTTATAACATGCAGGGAGATGAGAACTGAGTCGGTCATGACTAGGGAGATGATTTTTATCCCCCAAAACATCTTGTAATACACTATTAAAAATATGCATTTATGACCTACAAATTCTGAAATATGCACTTTATTATGCAATAAAAACTAACAACATTTCATTTCCTGTATAAACCTTTCGTGATAAAATTCAGGAGAAGCGTGCTTGGAATGAAGATGTATTTTTGTGCAAACATAAATGTAAACTACTCTACTTCGCAGGAGAAATAATTCAAAGTAAATATTTACCATATATACATACCATTGAATGACTTGTATTTATTCTGGCTTGTTTAAAATATGGTTTCAAGAAATATCCTACATTTGCAAAAGTATTTTATCATCTATAGAAAAGGAAAAACACAAACTGTGACAAGCTTGGTCTAAACAATGAATGCTCATAAATGAATAGTAAAATCTATGAAGAGATGAAAAGTTTTTGAGATGTCTCTATTTTAATGAAATGTGCAAAATGTCTTTAAGTACACAAGTGTGCACCAACCAGAAAAATCAGCCAAATATGCATTAACATGGGTGCCTATATAGCATTCAATACTAATGTCAAAAAATTTCACTTAGCTATGCTCTGAAGTAACAGACAAAATTATGCAAAATCGCAGAAATCCGCTCCCTATGTCATGACTTTTTCTGATAGATGGTGGAACAATTGTATCTCAATATATTCTTCCTGCGATTATGGTGTGCACTCTTTGTGAAATGTAATTGTTTAAACCCGAAGGTCACTGATACAAGTACAAAGTGATACTATATATCACCACAAGAAATTCTGCTATTATTGCCTGTGTAAGCTGCTAGTTCCAAATTTTCACCTGATAAATTTTATTCACAATAAGTCTGTGTATTTCCATGAAGATAGGTTTATTGCAACTTACTCTGTAAAATTTACAGTATCATATTTAATATGATATGCCAATTAGATGAAAATTAGAAAATTGTAGATGAAAGAACTTTCCTAATTTTTTGACAGTTTTAATGGGCAGCTGTCTTTGATTCAATGAAATGGAAGATATGATAGGTAATGTATGTTATCTTTATAAAAACTTATGATAAAGAGCATGCAATCATGGTGGACACTGGTCCTCATTGAATTTTAGATTGATTAATTCAGTGATGAAAGGAGCAAAACGGACAGGCTTGTTGGATCATGTTCAACAAAATATATTTAGCCATTTAGGTTCTCAAATATATGTTGACCTTACTTCACTTACAGTGAAGATCTTCCCAGGTTGTTCACTACTAGAAGTTGTAAGTTAATTTCTTCGGCTGGTTTTTAGTTTTTCAATAGCCTCTGCAAAGTTTCAAGAGGAATTTGTCTTTTGTTGACTGAATTATATGTAAAAGCTTTCAGGATATTCAAAATCCAGATTTTTTTCTCTTATGTAAAATCTGTTTTAATCAGCAGTCAATCATAGTCTGGTGAAAATGTCTGTTGGACAGATGGCCAATACATTGCGATTTATGCAGCTCTCTACTCCTAGTAGATATCAGCTGTTGATGGTTTCGATCAATCTGGAGGTTGAATGTCACTATGGTGATGTTCAAGCTCAAGATTTTTTGAGACCGTCCTCAGCTGATTTCTGCCCAGGGCAGAACTGCATTAATTGCAGTATAAATTGAGGTTATGAAGAAGAAGGAAATTGGTCGCCTGACCTAACTTTGATCTATGCTATGGGAGTTAGTTTGCGTTGCTTTTGTAAGGCAAGTGCAATCATGAATGTTTTTCATGACTGAATTTGAATGATATTAACTTTATTTAAAACATTTTTAATTACACTTAACGTACAAAGTATCAGAGTATTTAATGCTGTGCACTTAAATAATTTTTCCTGTTTTTAGTCATTGAATTCCTGGTATTTACACTTTTTTACTCCTGGTTGCTTTGTGAAATACATTCATACATATGAAGATGCAGTTAACATTCTAAGGAAATTTCAGAGCATGGATCAAAATCATATATTACCATAAATAGAAATTGATTACCCCAAGATAAACAATACTGAATATATTTGATATACGTAATTTGTCATCACATCTTAATGGAGCAAGCCATTGAAGAAATAGTAATATCCAATTCTAATTTGAATGCCTATTATCATGCTCGAGAGTTCTTGTGTGAAGAATTGTAGTAATTGTTGAGGTGTTAAGCAAGTTTCTGCTAGGAGTGATGCAGGCCTTGGGGTGTAATTTACTTTCAGTAGCAATTCAGGAATTCTTTTTCTCCACATAAAATTACTCTCCTTTCACATTCTTGGATTTTTTTTTTTGTGTTAGCCTACACCATCATGGTCATTATTATAGCATTTAGTACTGTCAGGTTTTACATCTTGTTGCTGTTTCTTCAGATACAGCATCATAATTTGTAACTTCAAGTATACTAATTTTTTATTGATATTTGCAAGAACTCCTTGGTAGTTTCTATTCAAGAGGATCTAGATTACCCTCATGCTCTTTGGCAGATTTGTTGTTAACATCAGTTTCATTGTCATCAGGTGGTGTTACATAGATACAATTTTCACAACATTAGTGTCTTCTGTAAATTCTTCCAAAATGTTCAAAATTTGAGCCACAGGCAATCAGAAAATTATTGTTCATTTACTTGCAATTGCTTGAATAGTACAAAAAGGAAAATGTAACCATTTTGATAATGTAAATGGAAGCATGTATGGCCACAGTGCATATGAAATCATATTTTGGATTGTTAGAATCATCATAGTTAATTTTAGCTGTGAAGAGTCTTATTCTTTAAAAATGTATATAGAAACAAGATTTTGAATTTTATGAATTACTGTCAACAGAAATAACAATTGAAATTGCAAAGTGCATAGAATATATTTATTGTTAACTTGCCTTCTGCTCTGAACAAACTAAACTACTCTATGGCATGCTACTCATTTTGACCATACAAACCTATCTCGACTTTCTGAAAACATAATGTTTCCCTCTCCTAATGTTTCCAATTCCCTCTAATGTTCCCAATTGTTGAAGGGTTAGCGAAGAGAATTGACAGTACCAACAATAAACATATTCTTCATTATTGTTAGATAAATCATTGTTTTTGAATTAAAAAAATCAGCATGTGATTTTAATTAGCATCTGATTAAATGGTATAAAATAGATCACTAAAACTATTTTGTTGTGTATTTATTATTTTGTGTTCATTGAACAAATTTGGAGAATGCTCTTAAAAGGTCATAACAAGCTATCTGACCTGATACCATATTATAATTATTTGATTGGTCTCTTTGAAGAAAATAGTCATTTGCAGAGAAATAATGCATGAAATATTGGTATGTACTCATAGGTCATTTAAAATTTTACATGTAATGATTTCTAGACTTGGTTTTTATTAAAATTTGTAGAATCCCAAGAGCGGCTCATGGATGTATACGAGCGGCTTGATGACATTAGTGCTGACACAGCTGAGACCAGAGCAGCGTGGATCCTGCATGGTCTGGGCTTCAGCAAGGAAATGCAACAAAAGAAGTGCAAGGATTTTTCAGGTGATTTTTTGCTTGATTCCAATGCACTGGGACTGCACGTATTTCGTGTAAAACCTAAAATATCTTTCATATTTCAGGTGGTTGGAGAATGCGCATTGCTCTGGCTAGAGCACTGTATGTGACCCCTCATTTACTGTTGCTTGACGAGCCAACCAACCATTTGGATCTGGATGCCTGTGTGTGGTTGGAGGAGGAACTTAAAACGTAAGAGATACCTACTTTTTGAATTGGTATTAAAAGCCGTTGTATGAGGGGTACTCGTGAAGATTGAGAGCAAATAATATAAAGAATGTAAAAATAGTTATCTGCATCTCGTTAACCATTGGTTAAGTGGTAAGTCACAGCAGAGAATTGCTTTGGCTTTCATTGTACACAAGTCAACAAAAATACTTCTTTCTTCAGTGTTAAGATTCATTGCAGATAGTTAAAGAAACTTCCATTAAGAATGGCAAAGTTTTTTCTCACCATTTTATATCATTAAATTACTTTAAGATAGTATGTTTGCACAAAAACAATTTATTTCCTGTGAATGGTTGAAAGAAGAAATATCTTTGGGTTAAAAATAGTACTGAAGATTGTGAAAATATCAGAATTTTAGATTATGAACGAAGACAATATCCCAGAATTGTCTTGGGAACTTCGAATATGAAACTAACCCCTACTTTGAATTCCATATTGGGTTGTTACAAATATTTGCGACAACACTCTTCAAATTAAAAATTGGCTGTACTTAATTCTCTCTTGTAGTTAACAATTCTCTTATTAATTAGCCACCTCCCCCTTTGTACCATCCCTCCTCTTTAACAAAGAAAATATCAATATATCATTTAATTTGGAGAACATCACTAATTGTCAAATTTAATTTAGAATTTTATAATTTTTTAAGAAAATAAATTTCAGATTCTTAAATTAAAAATATTTAGATTTTCCAAATAATTCATAGTTGTGGTTTGAATGCTATTGGTATAACTGATTTCCATTATAATGTCCAATATTACAACAATTTTCTACTCGTTTCTGACTGCCAGCTGGTAGTGCCATATTTACCCAATTATAAGACCAGGTTTTTTCCAAAATATCTCAGTTGAAATGTGCGTTTTATATTTGCAGATTAAGCCTAGTCAGGTTGAAGTATGTTGACGTAACACACTTCGAAGACAGTTAAAATCTCGCACATATCTACAGTGCACAATAATTTTGGTGTTCTTATTCTGGGCATCCACCACAAATTTGCGGGTCAATTCAGTCTGATATTTTTGAATGTGCTAGTAAAGAGAGAATTTGAAAATGAATGCATTGTATCAAATGAAATGTAACGTGAAAATGAATTCAGAATTTTGTTGTATGATGCAAGATTAAGGAGGCCATGTGGAATCTTGGTTCGACACCTGGCAAATGTGAATCTGCGTTTTGAACAGTTACATAGAAGCAAGACTGTTAGAAAATCTGGTAACACAGAAGGGAATGTTCTTGGTGGGCGTTTGATGAAAGACTATGATAGGTGCAAATTTAGTCTGTTAAACTTTGAGGAACCTAGAAAGTCCAGAGGATGTCGCAACATAAGAGGAGGACCAAAAAGAAAAAAACATTGATACATGTGAGGGTAGTGACTAAAGGAATAAGAAAATGATAATTCAGCTATAAATCTTAAGATTCTCTTCAACAAAGTAATTTTCTAGTCGGAAACTTTGTAATTTTATTTTGACGAAATATTATATGTTATAATATATGTTTTGACGAAATGTTATATGTTAAGTTAAACACATTCTCAGGAGGCCTCTTGAAAATTAGGGGGTCAACACATATTTGGGAAATTACAGTTAATTTCATATATCTTAGATCCAAACAAGATGTTCCAAATTATTATGCGTAATTATTAAAATAAAAAAAGCATCACATGAGTATGATTTCTTATTTCTTGTATTGTATTGCATAATTGATTCTACCAAAACTTGAAAATATTACAATTATATAAATATTTATTAATAATATCACACAAACTTTTATTTGTAGGGTGTAAGTTATTTCAAAATTAAACACATTGTAAATATTGCACATTTCATTTTAGAACATTGAATGTCTGAAGATGGAAACAAACTCGTGTTGAGATTTCCTAAATGTTTGTTTCTTACAATTAGAACAAGAAAAATAAAAACTTACAATAGGACTTTTTTATTCAGTGTTTGTTTAAAAAAAGAAGGTACTATTGTTATCATAAGAGAATCAAAATGTTTAGTTGTAATAAAAATTTTTAAAAAAGTGTTTATGATTTTTCAGCTACAAACGTATTTTGGTGATAATATCTCACTCTCAAGACTTCCTAAATGGTGTATGTACAAACATAATTCACATGGATAAAAAACGTTTGAAATACTACACTGTAAGTCAATAAGAAACCTTATATAAAATGTTTACATTTATAAAAATGGTTCTTTTATAAAACTTTGGACATGGTAAGTAATGAAATTTCATTTTAGGGTAACTATGATGCCTTTGTGCGAACTCGTTTGGAGCTGCTGGAAAATCAAATGAAGCAATATAACTGGGAACAAGATCAGATAGCTCACATGAAGGTTTGTATTATGTACAGAAATGGCCCATGTATTTTCATTGATACAAGACAGATATTCAGTAGAAAGCTCTGTGATTGAAATTCTAATTTCAATTCAGGAATTATTTTGGTTGTGATTAACATTTTACGTTTACTGAGATGTGATCTCCATTTTCGTTTAGAAAATTGCTGTCAGTTTCTTTTTAGGTTAACTTGCAATCCACATCTAAGTGCACTTGTTTTTGCCACCTTTCAAGATAGCCATGCCTCACACATCGAGACAGAAGTGACTGTCAGGTTATAAGCTGTAGCAACTTTCCTGTTTGTGTTTTTCACATTCAAGAGATTAGGCAGGCAGGTACGGGGTTCACACACCGGAAGCTTTTCACATGCTCAGAGTGAGTGGGGTGGAGAGGGGTGAGCAAATACATGAGCAAGAAACAAAACGTCTCTTTAGGCGATTCTGTCTAGTATGCTTAACAAGCAAAACTGTAATATTGAAGAGGTGGAGGGAAGTTAAAAGTAAATTTATTAATACCAGCATAACAATAATTATTATTTAATGTAAGTTGGCTCAGAGAGAAATTAGAAAGATATCTTGTGAAACATTGCTGCCAGCTCTTTATTATTTATAACAAGTATTATTATTATTATTATTATTATTATTATTATTATTATTATTATTATTGTTGTTGTTGAAGAATCTTATTATTAAGTAAATTAGAAGGTCTTAATAAAATTATTAAAAATATAAATAAAACCTAAATCAGTAAATTAATAAATATTGATAATAATGAATAAAATATAAGTTCCTTAAAATGACAAAAAACTGACTGATGAAAAAATGCTGAGTGACCACCATTCGCCATGTGGCAGGAGTTTACTTTATACAGTGTAGTGGTTGCAGTACGTTGAGGACTAACAAGGACAGAAAAAGTGTTTTCTCTTTCTTCCAATTAAAATTGGCGACATTCTCTCACTCTGAAATCTAAGGGCACGTGGCCTTGAGTCGCTAAAAGTGAAAGGGGGGATGCCTTAGGTATTTCTTGCAGTGTCAAATTGCCGAAACAAGAGGGGGTGTTTCCTGACATGGGTTGCGAGTTAAGCTAAAAACCCTGTTCTTAATGAATTAATTATTTTCCATTGTTAGTATTAAATTAGTTATAAATGTGTGTTTTTTTTTGGGGGGGGGAGGCATAATACATAACGATATCCCACAGTCAAAAGCTTTGAAGAAATCCAGAAAACAAATGAACAGTTGGCTGTTTTCTCCCTGTTTTTGTTGATTGTCTCAGGTTTGTTTTCTCATCGCTGGTTCCTTTATATTCTGAAGCCACCTTGCTCTTTTGATGGTTCTTTCTGCAAAAGACTTATTTGTTACTTCATTCCAAAAATTAAATAATCTTTTTTATTTATTATCTTCAGCATTACCTTGCTGTCAAGGCAATTCAGTGTTATTGTTCTATTAATAGCAGAGTCCTGTTGGTCTCTTTTCTTAGGTAACTAAATGTAAAGAGTTCTCATATAGGCTATTGACAACTTTTTCTTTTTCAATATCAAATTGAGAAGGTCATAAATATTGCTAAAATCTCATCTCCTGCATTAGTAAGTAGCAGTAAATTAATAATTCTTGCGAACAATTAAAAAAAAAAATATTATGGTTACTTAAAATAACAAATTTAGCATTTCTTCTTGCCTAATCATGAAGTCTAATGGAAATGCGTAAAATGAGAAAGCATGACTGTGCTTTCTACTTCTTTCAACTAAAATAGCCACATTCCCTGAAACCTGAGCGCACCTTTCTGTCGATTGGTTGCGAGATAAAATAAACTCCTTGTAGAAGTGCAGCTTCAGGAAAACAGAAAAAGAGAACACTATATTTTGAAGAAATGCTGAATAAATCCATGTATAATTTGCTCTGTTTTTTTCTTAGAACTACATTGCGCGGTTTGGTCATGGATCAGCCAAACTAGCACGCCAAGCTCAGAGCAAAGAGAAGACTTTGGCCAAGATGGTTGCCCAAGGTCTGACGGAGAAAGTCATCAGTGATAAAACGGTCCATTTCTATTTTCCTTCCTGTGGGACAATCCCACCTCCAGTCATCATGGTGCAGGTACTGTTCAGAGGGCTTTCTTGTATTTCTCTTAGGAATAGTGTAATATAATATGTCGGCAAATGTGACTTCAAAATTGACAAAAAACTAACATCCAAAGACTGGTTACTGCAGTTTCTCAGTAAAATGTATATTTTTGTTAAAAAGGTTATACTATTTAAATCAAATGATTATTTTAAAAAATCAGAGATTTAAATCAGTATTTTTTTTATTTGAAATATTTGAAAATATGTGTTTTTTAAATATATGTAAATTAAAAATTAGTCAGAGAAAAAGTCATAAATCAATTATAAAGTTTATATAAAGAATGTATTATATTTCTTATAAACTTTTTCACATAATTGAACAAATTTGAGAAAATAACATACAACAAAATATGGAGGTCACATGAATGTTTTGAGGTATACTGTGTTGAAGTCTATTGTTACCTTTCCAAGAAAGTGAATCAATCACAGTGATGAGTGATGCATGCATGTTGGAACTTGCTGGGCTTATCGCTGTTCCTGAGAGGTCTACCTTACTTTTTGTTGACCCGGCATTCAGTTGTTGTCAGAATGGAGCTGACGAGAGCAGTTTTGTGCAATGATTCTTTATGGCTTTGAATGAATCTGAAAACCTTGATTGTTTGCAACGGTCCTTTGAGGACCTTGTGCCTTCTAATGCAACAACTTTTTGGTGGTTTCAAGAATTCAGAAGGGGCATAACTTTGTTGAAAGACAAGGAGAGGAACAGGTATCTGGTGCCTGCAGTAACTGAAGAAAACATTGTCGCTGTGGAAAAATGGTGTGTGAAAACAATTGTGACATTTAAAGAGATTGAAGGGTCCCTAAAGTTTGGATCGCCAGCAGTTTCCAAAATCCTGCACAAATATGTTCGAGTCAGGAAAGATGCATCTTGATAGGTACCTCACACTTTGAAGTGAATCTGTGTGGAATGGTGTGAAGGAATATTGAAAAGATTGGAAAGAGACAGTAACTGTGGGCATGTCACAGCTGACAGTTACTTCTGACATAGTTACTGGCTATGATACATGGATTTATCAGGTCAATTCTGTAAATAAGCACTAGGGTACTGTATGAATTTTTCCAGATGAACATCCACCAACAAAAGTTAGGCACCCTCGAAGTGTTGGAAAGAAAGTAGTTGCAACATTCTTCACCAAAAGCTGTCATGTCTCAACTGTTCCACTTAAAGAACAAAGAGCTGGTACTGCTCTGTGATACACAACAATATATCTACCAAACGTTATCACCAAGCTTCAAGAATGGCAACCGAAAATAGGACTGTGGGGAATCGTTCTGCACCATGACAATGTGTGTGCGCAAAAAGTCAACCTCGCAATTCAGTTCCTGGGGACAACGGAGGTTAAACTAATGACCCATCCACCTTACAGTCCTGACCTGGCCCCATGTGACTATTTTCTGTTTTTTACAGTAAAAAATGGTATGTGAGGAATCTCTGAAGCTGTTGAAACAGCTTTGAAAATTGGTTTATGAGAATGTAAAAATGTATAGAATGTTATGGCAAACACTTTGAGAAAATATAGTTATAAAATTATGTCAAGTTTCTTAGTTTTTTTGGATCTCAAAACTTTTGTAGCTGCCCTTGTACACAATAAAATTAACAAACTTTTTAGACAAAGAACAATAAACAATTAACTAATATTGTCACTGTATTGCCCTAACACACACTGATCCAGTTTCAAGAAAAAACTTGTTTAAAGATTCAACTGTGTCTATAATTATAGATTGCTATTAAAATTTTTGCTAAAGCCACTTAGAGTACAGCTTAAAGCTGACTAGTATTAATAAAAACGGAATTTTATTAATACTCGTCATATAGTAAATAAAAACGGAATTTTATTAATGCTTATTTAAAGACCAAAATTAATATTGTTCAAAAACTGATATTAGTTTATCTTACTAGTATTAATAATATTAATCTTTTCTTTGTCTATGTTGAAAAAATTACATTTTAACTCACTTATGCCTAGTGAACATTTTTCTTTCCCAGGTTTCTAATATTTTAGTGTATTTTTTATTATGACTTTCTAGACATGAAAAAAACAGTTTTTGATTTTTCCTCTTGCCTTGTAGAGTAACTTCAGCCTATATGATATATCGTACGCTGGGCAGAAAGGATTTCAGTCTTCTCGAGAAACTTAACAACTCATGTTTATATTTGTCAAAAATTAAACAAACTGTTTACAATGTTAGAAAAGTTTGTTAATGTAGACATTAACATGTTTTATCTTACCCTATCTTTTATCAAACTAGTCTAATATTCAAATTTAATTTGGGTCTCACTAAGGTTTTCTTCTTTCTTGCAGTGTTGGGGTTAATTTTAATTTTCATTTTGAGAAGGTAATGATCAGTGTCCAATTGACTTCCTCTGAAAACATTGGTGTCTTTTATTTTACTTAGTAAGAGCTTATATCCAAACCTTATTGGTTTTCCATGTATGAACTCTTTCATACTATGATGGCCAAAATAAGGTTCCATTGCTTTGTCAATTGAATAAGAAGTTGGAGTTACATTTCTAATTGCTTGAAATTTTTCATGTGTGTGAACAGAGATTGAACTTGGGATGTTTTATTAATTTTGGCAACTGAACTGTTATTCTTCAAGTGACAAATACGATGAATTGACTTGAACTTATTCATTGTCTTAACGTTGGCAATAAGTGGGATGTGACAATCAGAATGTGTCTCCCAATTCATTCTTCGGGAAGGCAATTTAACAGATCCAGATAAAAGCAAATTTCCCAAGTAACTGAATTCTGCATAGATATTTCAATGTCAATATATACATTCATAACAGCATATTTCATTCTTTCTCGAATAATATGAGTTACAATATTATCATCCCAAATAAGTTTAAACATTTCAATGGGAGCAAAGTTTCCAACATTCATTTCTGACTTCACATGAATTATGTCTACACTGGTGGCCTTTTACATTTGCCTTCTGAGGAATTTCAGCATGGGTCATTTTCTTTTAATGAAATTAAGGATAAATAAATCACGTAACATTTTTAGTTAAAAGTAAAAACATATAATACTATTTAAAAAAACTAATTTAAATTTGATAAACAGCAGATTTGAGATTTTTCTAGTCCTTTTCTATAATATGTATCAAAAATATTAATAATCTTGTTGAAAGAAGCACTAGATGCTTTATTCTAATGTATTTTGTTACATTGAAAGTTTAAAAAGTGTTCTTTATCCTTCGTAGAATGTAAGTTTTCGCTACAATGAAAATACTCCACAAATTTACAAGAATTTGGAATTTGGAATTGATCTGGATACTCGATTAGCGCTTGTGGGTCCAAATGGTGCTGGAAAGAGTACGCTGCTCAAATTGCTTTATGGAGAGGTAAGCAAAGTTTTTGTACATTTTTGTTTTGAGCTCTCATTGGAAGTTAATTCACTGTTATTATTTCTTTCATAATAATACCAAAGTTAGTCATTAGTGAATTCCTACTATTCTCTTCACAGCTAATACCAACTGAGGGGATGATACGAAAGAATTCCCATTTACGAATTGCCCGCTACCACCAACATTTGCATGAACTGCTAGATCTGGATTTGTCTCCTTTGGAGTACATGATGCAGTCTTTCCCAGAAGTAAAGGAGAAAGAAGAGATGAGAAAGATTATTGGCCGATACGGTCTTACTGGGAGACAACAGGTAAGATTTGCAAGAGCAAAGATGCAATCTTTTCAGGTTGCAGCATTTCTAAGATACTTATCAGTCTATTCAGCCTCTTCCTATAGATATCACTCTATAATCTCTCTATAATCTACTTTACTTCAATTTGGGGTGATTGTGTGGATTTCTTTTATTTATCATTGTTATTATTAAAAGGAGGATTGGTATTCATTTAAAATTATCAAGAGTGAAGATATTATTACTCCTCTAATACTGCGACCAGCTATTGTACAAAGTGATGAACTTGTAATTATTTCATGGAATTAAAAGGAGTATGTGCATCATTAAATGAACATATTCACATCCCCAGCTACTAGAAGTCTGACTATAAACTGATGAAAACACAGCTGTCTGACCTCAGAAGCACTGAAATTCTATCAAATAATGACATTCCTATAAATGTGAACTGCAACCCTCTTCCAATATAGAAAATTGGTACAAAACTGTGGATCAACTGTTTGGTTGTACAACTAGCGAGGAGGAAATATCGAGCTGGAATTACTTACAAGAGAACCAGTCTGAGTGATAATTTTGCAACCTACAAATCATTAAACCCCCTTGTAATTGTTTCCAGGTGTTTGAGATACAAATAAAGGTTGGTAAAATGGTGGGAAACTGTTCTATTCATATATTCAAATACAAATCTCATTGGAATTTCAGAATTCAAGAAGAAATTATATATGGACACAATCTTTTGGAAATTAAAAAAGAGAAATTGGCAAAAAGCTCCTGTGCATTTCTCAGCCAAATGAGATTGTGAACTGTGAAATATCAAATATATGGTTGCTGACTTTGATATTGACTTCATCTTTTATTACTATTAAAATAAAATAAAATACTTTTTGCGACGTTTTTAGAAACCTATTACATTATTCAAGAACATTTCAATGCCAAGATTGACCTGCACCAATTACTAATTTTAAGAAGAAAATCTAAATTGCTGGGTTTGAGACTAGACCTCCTATATGAACATTTAATTACATCACATGTTTTTCATAAAACTTTTTAAATGTTATTTTTGGGTATTAAAGTAACAAATTTATAACATGAAGCTCCAAAAGACTCCACTTAAAGTTTTTTTGGTTGTGATGAAATTGGCGTTGTTAATATTAGCAAATGCAGTTTTTATTTTATTGCTAGTTTACTTTTTTGTTCTAGTTTGTGCGTTTGTTATGAGGTTTTAATGAGTATTTAGATGTGTAAAATATAATTTTTTTATTATTTGAAATTTTAGAAGTCATTAAAGAAAGAAGGCTAAATGCCCAGACACTAGTACAATTTGTAGCCACCACGTGGTAGCACCATAATAAGTAAAATTTACTTACTCTGAACCAATCGTTCGATTTTCGATCTGTAAATGGTATTTGACGCCTTTTTAAAATAGAATTTACGCTTCCATGCCTTTTTTTCGAAAAAAAACTTAAAAATTTGTCTGAAAGTACTAAAACATTTTTTTAAATAAGATACGTCTATTTTACTTGGGAAAAGAGTTTCACCAGATGAACTCTTTAAAGCAGATAAACACTGTTTAGAGATCAAAAATTGAGTTGTAGGATAAAAGAGCTGGTGTGTACACTCCGCTAATTCTTTCTGGTATTTTACAACGGATGTTCTTAGAGCAAGGTGGATTGATAACGGAAGACCTTAGAAGTAATATATATCTAAAATAAGATGTGAGGAGATGGAATAATGGTGATATTTACAGAATTAGTTCGTTTTTTTAAAAAACTGTTCCAAATCGGAATCAATATTTTGAGTAATGCCTCAAACAATTTTGAGATGGTATTCGGAGGAAGACAGAAATATGTGAAAAAGGTAGTTATGTACTACTATTATAGACCGTTTACATCAGTCTGTAATAGTAGTATAACATCTCTAGTTTGATATCTGTGGAAAAATAGATTGAGATGCAAAGTGACGAAAGCATAAACTGACTGGCTTGCCTGTCCTGCAAGTCCCGCCTCCTCCGCCAGGGCTGCCGCTGGGCATGGCCGTGCCACCATGCTGACAGAGGGCCCACAACAGGCGGGTGATGCATGTGATGCAAGGGTGCGGAAGGGGGAGGGGGGACCGAGGTGTTTTCCTAAATTTCAGTTTATGACACTCCTATTCGTCCGATTTGCATGATTGTCATGGCGTTGGATTCAGAAAGCATGTTGCCATTGCCCTATGAGCCCACATTTTTTAATTTTTTCTCAGAAGTTTTAGAACTAATTTCAAATTCGCGTTTTTGCTAGATTTTTGGAAAAAGAGCTTCGGAGCAAAAATTCTATTTTAAAAAGGCGTCAAATACCGTTTACAGATTGAATATTGGACCATTGGTTCAGACTTTATCAGTGAAGTAAATTCCCCTGTGATAGTGCTGCGATCTATTGAATTTTCCTACAAGTATTTTTCGGTGCATGTAGCCTTGAATAGGCTTATAGAAAAGCAGGTGGGCTTTTAGGTCTGGGAAAAATTTAGCCAACTTTAGTGGCCAACAAATGTAACAAAATGCTAGAATTAATTCCATTATTTTCCTGTTAAGAAAGGAGACAAAGTTGCAGAGAAATAACAGGCCTGTCAGATTTAAAAGTGAAATGGGGAAACTCAAAGAGAGAATTGTTAAAATAAGCCATAAACTATCGGGAACGGTCAAATCCATGCCCTGAAACAGTGTAGTGGAAATGAGGCAACTTAACGCCCATTTATGTATACTGCAATATTAAATCATCAGGGCCACTGATAATAGACGTCATCAGCGAAGAGGAAATCTGAAGTTTGTGGCACTCCCTCCGCAGGGTTGTCAACAATTGCAACATTTCTCTCTCCCTCAATGTTATTGTTTTGGCCATGATGGTTGATTCATTCCAGTGAAATCCGAACCTTATGAACTGCCATCATCGTGAAATTCAATAAAGAAGATTACCGATTGTGATAGGGTGTAGATGTGGATTTCAAGTGTAGATGTGTGTGTGGCAGTTTTCTTGCAGATAGTGAGAGAGATGTCCTGTTACAAGTTTTTCAGTTTTGGCTATTAATGTTAAACAAAATAAGTAAAATATGCCTAATTCACTTGGAAGTTAAAATAACTGTAATATTACAGAAATTCTTTCCTTCGCAGTCAAGAAGTAAAAAAATGACTAAAGTAAAAGACTTCAGAGTCACTAATTTCAAAGTGTGTATTGATGTCTAAAACATTGTCAGGCAAAAGGATTAGGGCATGAGCAGTAAAATATTCAAATATGCTAAAATCCACCCTCTAGTGATTATGTTGCAGTATGTGGATTTAAGAAAACTGTTGTTTATTTATTACTAATCAAGTGTAGATGAGCTGACAGTTATACAGCCACACCCATGTTTGTTAAAAATTGAACAATTTACTTATCTATATTAATAAAAATATTTATTAATTTAAATATTTGCTCCTAACAAAAAACATTATTTAAATACAAGTTTTTTTTCTGTAGTTTTGTATTTTAGAATCTTTTTCACAAATTGTAGATCAAAAATTCTGGCTTGCCTACTAACTTCTACGGAGACATTTTCACCTGTGCATAAATTAAATTTCATCAAACTCATTGTCCCTCTTTTTTTAATAGGTTTGCCCAATTAGACAGTTGAGTGATGGGCAACGTTGTCGGGTGGTATTTGCATTCTTAGCTTGGCAGGCTCCTCATCTTCTTCTACTTGATGAACCTACAAACCATCTAGACATGGAAACTATAGATGCATTGGCTGATGCCATCAATGATTTTGAAGGTGGCATGGTACTGGTCTCCCATGACTTCCGCCTCATCAGTCAGGTAAGAACTATTCATTCATGTTTTTTCATCTTCATTGTAAGAGTGGCATTGTGTCATAGAAATGTCAGTATATTGTGAGTATAACTGAAGTGTTCCAGCTCTTGCATCTCCACTGCATAGACGTGAAATCCCATTGCACTGTCTGCCCATATTTACTATGTCCATGTACTCCCTCAGCCAGACCTGCCAAACTGGCATGTGACAAGCAATAAGCTCTCACCTCTGCTTTTAAGCTGAGGGGGAATATTAGGGAGAGAATGGGTGCATGTGGTGGAGAGTAGGAGTAGACCGTACCCTCGGCCAAAAGGGCACATGACTGTTCTTCAGAAAAGGTTGACACATCCAGTGTCTGACTAGTTCCGTGTGAAGTGAAACTGTGAATTGCGCATGATGAACACATTGGTATTTCATTAAGAGATTTTTATAAAATTGTTTTAATGGTGACCTATGTTTAAACTAAAAGCACCCTAATTCCATTAGTTATTCAAACATTTTTTTAAGATAAAGGATGTATGTGAATAAGCAGTAGAAGGGTGAAATTAAGTATAATATTTGAATAATGATTTTGATCCGAAATACATTTCCAGTTAATTCTTACCGAACTACACAAAGAAAAAGTTGTTTACAGAAAAATATGTTGTTTTTTTTAAATAAAAATTATATTTTTTAACAAATTTTGATATCAAATTCTAATTTAAAATGTTTTTGAAATTTCTTGAGGTACTAAGCAAGTTTTAATTTTCCATGTATGTAAGTACAAGAAGTAATACTTGGTGTAGGGAAAGTTATGTAAAGCTGAGAAAGTGTTTTCAATTTCTTTTTTTCAAAACTTCTGTCTGTCCGTCCGTACGTGACCACTACTAGTGCCTAAACCATCTGTAAAGTTGTTTGCAAATTGAAAAAAATTTGCCAAATTCTCTGTCCATCTGGCTCAAGTTGAAGCTTTCATATTTTTAAAAACATTCTTTAATATTTGAGGATACTTTACATGAACATCCTGGACATTTTTCAAAATGTTTTCAAATACAGCTCCCAATTTTTTCTTTAAATTTCTATTAAGAATAGGGTAAAATACACTTATAAAAGTGACATAGGTCCAATTATCAAATTAAGTCAGAATTTTCAAAAGTATGAAATTTTTTCGGTGTTATCCTACAACTGCCAAAATAGACGGAAATTTTTCCACCAAATGAAATGTGTTGTCCATAATTAGTTCTGTTATTAATGTCATCTACTTTTTATGAAAATTTTAGTAGTTCCCATGCAATATTTGCAATTTTAAAACATAACAAAAATAGGATTTTCTCAAACAGCCCCAGATTTTTTCTTCAGACTTTTGGTAGGGATAGTGCTCAATGCACTCTTTGAGATGACATACATGCCATTTTGCTCCTTATCTTCTTTTCTTTTTTCCTTGTTCTCTTCTTCTTCTTGTTCTTCTTCATCTCTTCTACTTCTTCTCTTTGTTCTTCTTGTTCTTGTTGTTGTTCTTCTTCTTGTTCTCCTTGTTCTTGTTGTTGTTCTCCTTGTTCTTGTTGTTGTTCTCCTTGTTCTTGTTCTTGTTGTTGTTCTCTGTCTTTTTGTTCTTGTCTTGTTGTTGTCTCCTTCTTGTTCTTGTTGTTGTTCTCTCCTTGTTCTTGTTCTTGTTGTTTCTCTCCTTGTTCTTGTTCTTGTTGTTTGTTCTCCTTGTTCTGTTCTTGTTGTTGTTCTCCTCCTTCTTGTCTTGTTCTTGTGCTCCTCCTTCTTCTTGTTCTTGTTGTTGTCTCCTCCTTCTTCTTGTTTCTTGTTGTTGTTCTCCTCCTTCTTCTTGTTCTTGTTGTTTTTCTCCTTCCTTTCCTTCTTGTTCTTGTTGTTGTTCTCCTCCTTCTTCTTGTCTTGTTTGTTCTCCTCCTTCTTCTTGTTCTTGTGTTGTTCTCCTTCTTTCTTCTTGTTCTTGTGTTGTTGATACTTCTTCTCTTGTTCTTGTGTTGTTCTCCTTCTTCTCCTCTTCTTCTTCTTCTTCTTCTTGTTCTTGTGTTGTTCTCCTTCTTCTTCTTGTTCTTGTGTTCTTGTGTTGTTCTCCTTCTTCTTCTTGTTCTTGTGTTCTTGTTCTTCTCGTCCTTCTTCTCCTCTACCTCTTCTTCTTCTTTTCTACTTCTTCTCCTCTTCTTTTCTTCTTCTTCTTCTACTTCTACTCCTTCTCTTCTTCCGTGAATCAGGAGGTCATTTTCAATTCTCAATTATCTTTCTGATCTGGTCGTTTCATCCTGGTCTTGGTTTGCCTCATTTTCTCCTTTCACTTGGCATTCAAATGAATGTTTGGGAATTCATGTCCAAACCAAGTGAGTTGTTTCTTTTCAATTTTTCTGTAATATCATATTGCAGATTCATTATTTCCTTAACCCATTCATTTCTAATTCTCTCCCTTCTAGATATTGCTGCAGCTCTTCTGCGAAATCCTTTTCCAGAGCTCTCAATTTTCTTTTCTGTCCTGGAAGTTTTTGCCATATTTCTGCTCCATACAATGTAACATATTCAATTACACATTTATATATTCTAATTTTTGTTTTCTTGCTAATATTTGGATCCCAGGTTACTGGAGTCAGGGCTCATAAAATTTTTCTTCTTTTAATGAGTAGGGTTTCACATTCTTTTCCATTCAAACCGTTTCCCTGTTGTTCTCAAGTACTTTTGTGTCCTCTGTTCTTATTATTTCCCCAGTTTCCATAGTCAATATGTCATGTGTACTGCTTTTCCGAGGTTGAGGCTTAGTCCCCATTTCTCATAATCTTTTATCTTCCTAATCATATATTCAATATGTTCCTGTTTTTGAGCCATCAGCACCTGATCATCAGCAAACTGTAGGGTATAGTGTGTTGGATTATCATCAAGTGGTATTCCCATCCCTGCACATACCTGCAACACCGCATTAACATATGTTTTAGAGGGTAGGTGACAAACAGCATCCTTGCTATAGTCCTTTTGATTTAGGAAATGTTTGGATCATCTGTTTTTCGATTTTCACTTTTCCCTTTTGATCCATATAAAATTCCTTTACCACATATATTAAGATTTAATATACATTTCTTTTGTTCATAACTTCCCATAACTTTGACTGGCACAGTATCATACGTCTTTGCTGTATCAAGGAAGACCATGTCAAGTTCTCTCCTTATTTGTCATTTCTTTTGCATCAACTGAGACAGACAGGTTATCTAAGCAAGATCAACCCGCCCTAAAATCACTTTGTTCTGAACATTTTGATAATAAAGCAAAATGATCTTGGTGAAATATCAATATAAAGTTTAACAAACATTTTTTGAGCACATGAAAAATCAATGGTTTTATTCTTGTTTATTGTTGTCACATATTTTTAAGTTAATGCTTAACGTAAACAGTAATTAAGTAATGGAGAAACTGCTTAAACGGTCATTGTAGTCATATTTATTGTATTCAGTAGAGGTCACTACTATAGTGTGATTTATGCAATTCCACTCCATGCAGTAATCAGCTGTTGATGGTTTCATCCAATCGGTAGCTTGAATGTCACCACTGCAGTACAGAGCTTACATCTATAGATTCATGAAATTATTGGATACAGTCATATTTTAATATTATGCTAAACTGTTTGGAAAGTTCAAAAAAAATTTAAACATTCTAATATCTTAGAAATCAAATGTCATGATTAAAACAGACAAAATTAATGATTAAATTAAAACTTTGTTGAGTACAAAAAACAAACACAGTTTAGAAAAATAATAAATCCAGAAACTCGTTACAGAATTTAAATTGCAGAGAAAACTATTCTGATCCTAAATACTATTACTGAACAACTTTTTAAAATTGTATTGCAAAATTGATTATGTAATCTTCAAAATTCCAAAAACTAAAAATGTATTCTACAGTTATCCCCTAAATTTGTGAGAATTGATTAGTAGGTCTAGAATGGGCAGCAGAATATTCATTTTGAAGAAATATTCCTACTTGCGTGATGAAAACTTGTTCACTGTAGGACCAGCATTTTCTGTAACGTCTGTTTCCATCTAAGGAAGTTTTTCAAACCTTGCATTTGTATCAGCTCCAATATCGACTTTCTGGCTGAAAATTCTTTCTTAAGCATTTCAGGACTGCGAATATTAATTAGTATCATATGCTTCTTAGAAAAAAAATCTGAGTTTTCTTTAAAGCTTGTTTTTGTTCAAAATTCTACACTCTAGTACTCAGTTGCAAAAGAAAAGTGTGTAACATAGTATGGTTCTGTAGTAAGCACAAAAAAAGTGTTGAAATGTGTGAAACACAACTTGAAAAATTTATTTTCTCTCAAATTTTTTCTTCAAACTTTTCGAACATGTAGTGCTAATTGCAGTCTTTAATATGACAATAAGTCCAATTTGGTGTATTCAAAAATTACACAAATGTAATTTTTTTTAAAGATCTCATGTCGTTTAATGCACATTTCCAGCAATGTGTAAATGCTATTGTATTGGTGAGTTAGTGCTTCAAATGATTTCGAATAAAGTTTTTCAAAAACTCATAGATTTTTTGGGAAGCTTCAAATTTTGAATTTACTGTAGCCCTTAAACATCATTTTCGTAAAAACTGCTCTGAATTTTTCAAAGAAAAATGCCAAGTAGGACTAGGTTTTACTGTTGTTTAGTATTCTTAAAATAATATTTCCGTTCTGTTAGGAAACAGAAAAATTAAGAAAATTTCAAATAAATGTACTTTAAGAGGTGATAAATCGCAGCTGGCAAGAGTATGTGGCAAGTCTGAATAGCTAACTGAGGGAGATAAGGCTAAGGAAATAGAAAACTAATACATGAAAGTCTGTGCCATGCTGTAGTACCACTAGTTTCATATTGTTTTCAAGTTTATGTCTGTCTCTAAATATGCAACACCACAATAATGGTCAGACATTTATAATTCCACAGCAAAAGAATTTGCAAGAAGTGCAGAATAAATTCCTTGGTCATCACCAAACCTATTTTATTTCTTTTGGATTCTATTTGGATACTGTCTTGAATGTTGACACACACTTTTAACACCTACAAATGCCAGAAAGCATAATTTAACAAGTGTTGCTTGTGATGTGACACACAATTTGGAATCCAGTTTCGCTGATTGCTTGAAGTGTTCAACCATCCCGCAGTTCCCTCCTGAAGCTCTTTCTCTTGCTCTATAGTGGCGCCCATTCCTGCCCTGACACTGCAGCTCATGGGTGAATTACTGAGTTCAAGCTGCTGCTGTTCAACTAAATATAGCATGCTTGCCCCAGTCCTTTATGTAGATAATATATCGTATGGTTAACTGAGTGCCAAACTTTACCTAATTAATGAACCATGAGTCTTTGAGTTAGTAAGTTACATAGAAAGAGAGTTATGTTGCCAAGTAATAGAGATTTACACAAAAAAACTCTGCGAGCACCTCAGTTCAGGCTTAAGATTTCAAGTATTAGATGAAGCAAAAATTGAGTACAGAATATGTTGTAAATGCAATATGTCACAGTACTTCATGAGAAAACCTGTTTAGTTTTGTAGTTATCACTGGTTATAAAGTTGTACATTTAAAAGCATTGACAAAGTAGCATAGTTTTATTTACCTGACCAATATCTTGTTAACAACAATCTTGTTTGCTTCTCATTGTTGGTCAATATTTTGATTTTGTGTACTTAAATGTCTAAGTGTTGTTTTCTTTCAGAAATGTTCCTAATTTTGTTGCTTCTTTCTGCAGGTGGCTGAAGAAATTTGGGTATGTGAAAACCAGGCTGTAACAAAGTGGCAAGGGGGAATAGAGTCATACAAAGAGCACCTGAAAGCTAAAGTCATGAAAGACAAAAGCAATGCAAAGAAATTTTTTAAATAAGTTTTGGGACAATTAGGCTGAAAATTGGAGGAGGAAACTGTAACTATTTGTTATTTAAAAATAATTAGGTTAAGGTGGTGCAAAAGTCACTATTGTGCCGTCACAGTGAAGACATCAATACTTGATATACAAAGTGTTTATAATAAATTGTCTGGATATGTATAAGGTGTTACTTTCAACTTTTTTGTGATTGATTTATTATGACTACTGCATTATAGTAATTTAATTTTGAGTTCTTAGTGACTCAGAATACTGCGAAAGCACATGAAGTTCATTGGAAACTTCAGAAACGTGTGATGTGATTAAGTTATTTAATGATATTGCCAACATCCTTTTTCTGAAACTATTTACAATTTTGTTATGAACAACATAATGCTCACTGAATTGGAATTAAGTTGCTTGTTCACTAGTGTATGATTTGTTTAAAAGTATGTAATTGAATATTTTGCTACAGTTTTATTTTCATCAGTCATATCTGAGAAGAACCAGTGCAGTGTCTGATATGGAAATGCAAAGTTGTTGAGTTCTGACCTAACAGATATGGTTATGAATTAGGTTTGCACTATTAACTACATGCATTAGTCACTATAAAAAAAATCTTGCTGCTAATTTGTCTTCTAATTATAATTGTTACAAACTTTAAACAATTATTTTGTTCTTCATTGAGAATTAGTGCTCTGAACTGCCAGAATTTATAAGTACATAAGAACAGTAAACAGTAATTCATACAATCATGTTATTGTGTAGTTTCAGCAATGTTTTTGATAGAAATGTCTATATCTATGTTCACCATCTTCCATTTTACCTTTTTAGAAATGATTGTTTGCCTCTCTTCACATCAAACATTGCATTGGAAGGTTTAGGGCATAATGAACTAGGCTTGAAGCTTGTAAAACTAAGATTTTTCAAGAACAAATCCAATTTTAAATCTGTATTTAAAAAAAAGTAAAAACTTACTGAAAATCGCTGTTTGGTTTTATTTTTGTTTAGTATGTATGTTCTGGTTATTAGTTCTCTGAATTATTGTAAAATGTTTTGATCCAATTAACCATACAACTCAATAAATTGGATACAATCTAGCTCATGTTCCATTCTTTCGGATCCAAGGTGTAATGTTAAGGAAAAACTGAACCACATTTGTTTGAAAAATTCTTCCTTTAGAAATTGGATTTCTTTCTTATTTGAAGGTGACCTTAGCTTCGTAAGATTCAGGAGTAACAAATATGTTGGCATCATCTTCAAAATCTTACCCAAAAACTTGTCTCAGTACAATTGAAGTTCACATTATTACAATGTGTGTGTGTGTGTGTGTGTGTGTGTGTGTTTTTTTTTCCCGCTTCAAATTTGCTTTTAAGTGTGCTTAAAATTTGATGACATGCTTTGTAAATTAGTAAAAATTTCTAAATGCTTTTTGATTCATAAATACTGACACTTACACCTCAGAAATATGGAAATATCACTTATTCGGGTTTTAAATATAAGTATATTTAACAGCTTTGGATTTTTTTAGAAGTAAGAAAATTGTTTTATAATGTTCCTGTTGGAAATTCTATTTGATAAAACTCTTTGTCAAGCGATAGAGATACATTTTAAGATAAATAGGCCCATTTTCTCAGTTATTCAGTATTGTTTATTGTACTGTGTAAGAAGTCATAAAATTAAGTTTGCTGTATATTTTGTTTTTAAAAATTACACGAATGTAATATTTTTGAAATATGTATCAGGTGTTTAATATGTACATTTCCAGCAATTTGAATTGACAATTCCATTCATGGGTGGAAGTGCTTCAAATGACTTCCAATAAAGATTTTTGAAAACTCAAAAGATTTCTGTGAAAAAGTTTCAACGTTTACATTTACAGTAAAGCTTAGAAGAGAGCTCCAATTTTTTTTACAAAATTTCCTTATAGTGCAAGGTTTACTTTTCTATAATGTTCTTAAAGTACTATTTCAATTTTACCATTAGGAATCTGAAAATTGAGGGTGTGTGTTTTTAATTTTTTTTAAATTTTAATATATAAAATGTACTTTGGGCGGTGATAGATGGAAGCTGGCAAGTCTGAAAAGCTATTCCACAACAAAGAAGTTTTAAACTAATAAATATGAGAAAGTGTGACATTCTATAAACCCCACTAGTTCCTTTCTTATATGTACATATTTATGGAAGAATATGCACAGTTTAGAGAAAGTTGGAAAAATCTTGTGGAAATTTCAACGGAAATACACGGTTGGGATTACTTGATACTAAATTTTTTCCTCCCTCCCAAAAAGTCTGCGAGTGAACAACACTAGCGCCTGAACTACAAGTAGGATGTACATTCTTTGAATAAGCCCTTGTCGATCTGGCCTCACTTGAAGCTCTGCGATTTTCATTAATTTCTGAGGGTTATTCAGTAAACTCCTGGGATATTTCCAAAATTATCCTAAAGGCAACTCCACATTTTTAAAATTCATCTTTAAATTTCTTGGGAGAATAGAGTGAAATGCACTTATAAAGATGGCATAGGTCCTATTTTCACTGTTAACTTTTGAAAATTGCAAAATATTGAAATTTGTTAGACATCTTACTACAACTACAAAATTGATGGTAGAGATTTTTCTCTCAAGTAAAATTTTTGTCTCCATAATTATTTTTTTAATTAATGCCATGCACTTTTTTAAAATTTGAATAGTTTTTGCACAATATGTACTATAGTATAAGTAACAAGATTTTCTTAATAATGGCTTCAATTTTTTTCTTTACACTTTTGGTTGGGATAGTGCTAAATGTACTGGATAAGATGACTTAAGCGTGATTTTGCTGCATTCTCTTGTCTTTTAAAAAATTACAAAAATGTACATTTTTTGACTTCTCTCACATTAATATTTACATTAGCTGCAATTTTCTTCAAACTTTTTATGCTAATTGCACTGTTTAAAATGAAATAATAATTTTGCTGTATTTTGTTTTTTAAAAAGTTACACCAATGTAATTTTTTTTTTTTTTTTTTTAAAGGATCTCTCATAATGTTAATAGCACATTTCCTGTGATTTGTATACATTACTGCATTTGTGCTTCAAATGATTTCCAATAAAGTTAACTTAGATTTCTGTCAAATAGTGCCTCAAATTTCACATTTACTGTAACACTTTATCCATTTTCTTAAGACCATTTTGTTAAAAACGGCTCCAAATGTTTAAGCAAAAATTTCCTTTTAAGGCGATTTCTGTGTTTCTTCTCTACAATATTCTTAATGTAATATTTCGGTCCTACTATCAGGAAAACGAAAAATTGTGACAATTAAAAAGAAAAATGTACTTTGGGTGGTGATATGTGGTACCTTGCAAGAGTATGCAGCAAGCCCAAAAAGAGTGAATACCAATGAAATTAGAAAGCTAACTAGTACGAAAAAGACTGTCCAATTCTTTTGCACGCAATGGACTTTTTATTTTTAACTGGATCTCACTTTGTAGTTATGGAGAAAAAACGAAAAAAAGTAAGAAAAATACCATTTTTTCCGGACCTCCCAGACGTACCACAGGGTCTAGGGAATTCATCTATCATGTTTTGTAAAACTTAATACAAATCGTAGAACATTTGGTGCAAAAAAAATATTTCCAAGCAAACAACAAAAATTTGACAATTATAACTGTTTTTCATACAGTTGAAACAAGTCCCAACAATGAGAAATTATTCACAGAAATTCCGCCGGCGAGTCACTACACGAAATGCCATTGTTGCATTTATTCGATATTTCCTGAAGGCTAGCAATTTTTGTTCAAGTATTTCAAATAGGTTTTAAATAGTTTCCAAAAGATTAATTTGTAAATGTGTAACGAAAGCTGGAATGTAAGAAACGGCCAAAGAAATATGGAATAATATACAAATTCTTACTTATGTAGTGTGACGGTCCATTCAGACTCGTCTCAATGTTTAATAAAAAAGATGCAATAAGGTAACCACAAAAACAAAAATTGACGCATTTAATAAAACGAATCAGTCGAAGGTGCAAGGGTAGGGGAGTATAACTTGTTTATCAAGGAACTATGCTGGTAGCAGACCTGGAGAAAATTAATTATACAATTTTAAGAATTATCCGGAAGCAATTCGAAAAGGGGGTACAAATATTGAGAAAAAGAACTTGGGGCAGAGAAAAACTAACAAGGAAAGACACTTGAATATAGGCAACTGATGAAAGTAACTTTCGAAATAAGTTAGAATTTCGGCAAAGCAGGGCAGTGAACTTTAGGGAACGCGAATCAAAAGGCAGTTTTCAGAACCTCTGAAAGGAGCCAAATCAGAATAGAAGAAATTGAAATATAAAAATATGTTCCAAAAGATCTCGACGCCCAAAATGTTGACTTTTTGCTATTTTCAAAAATCAGAATTTTCAACGTACATGAGAGCTACACCATTCTCTTAAGTGTCCTATACACCATCGGAAGTTAAAATTTAATCAAAATTGTTAGTGCCGTTTTGAGAAAAAAAATGTTTAAAAAACATTAAAAAACGCTTATATTTCACGCAAAAAGTTCTCAAATTTTCAAAAAAATTGTACATGGCCTTATTTCAAAATTATCTTTATGGAACAATTTTATTAAGTGAAATAATATTTCTCTTCATAATAGTAGTTGTAGGTAGACGCCAAAAAAATTAAGAATTTTTGTAATTTTCGAAAAATCAGGGTTTTCAACGAAAATGAAACCCGCACCATTTCCTTTAAAGTCCATCACACTATCCAACAAAATTTAATCAAAAACAATTTAGCTATTTCTTTGAAAATTTTGAAATTTCCCAGGGCTTTTATGTACAGTACTCCCAAAAATTAAAATATCGGTTTTAAATTCGAGACGCGACATCAGAACGATTGGGGAAAATCGATTTTGGACAAAATTTGCTGAACGATTTAGCCGTTAGCGTTGTTGAGAAGGTCGGACAAACGTTTTGCCGTCAATCGAGTTTTCGGTATCAAGGACCCACATAACATGGATTCTGACGTAGTGTGACGTAGTGAAATAAGAAATAAATTTCAATAACAAAATAAAAATAATATATTCAAAGATTATGTACAAGTTACAATGAATTGCTAATTTTAAAACACTCCGGCAACCTTTTCCTTTCTGAACACTGCTTTACCGCAGAAAACACAAGCCACGCGTGATGCGCGCCGTCGGACCTCTGTCCCGTGACAATTACCGTCACATGGCCTGACGCCAAAAGTTAACCCGGTCGTGGCGACCGTGTGCCTACAGCACGTGAGATTGTCTGGCCCTTACTCTCCGGACATCTCGCCCTCACTCCTACACCCTCCTTGTACCTACACGTACAAGCTACCCGATGCAAACTGAATGAGAACGCGGGCGCAGATGGCGCCGCGTTAAATAGTTGAGGCTGACACCCCCACCACTGTTCCATAGATAGACTCGCACTGGCGCGAGGCTCGCAGGCCAGCCTTTGGTTTACGCCCACACACAGAGAATTCTCAGGTTGGCTGCCTGCTTCCGGTTGAGGCACGCTAGCTAGCCTCCTCGGAGTTTACAGCCAACGGTATTTTTGTGGCTCTGCGGCTCTACATGAGTCAACCGCCAGAGCGCAAACTCCGGATGTTCAGGCTTAACCCCTCCTTCCTCCCCCGCAGCGTACTTTCACCAACCTAACGGTTCTGGCCCTCGTGTTAACGACGCCACACTAACCTGTGTTAGAAGATTTATATAAATTTTCTTTACCAGAGCGTGGCATTAAAGAGTTTTTCTGCCAAAACTTTGCCGTTTTTCCGTGCAGCATTACCTACGTAACGGTGGCGAGAAAGTAACAAGCGGTGCTAAAATAGCAGGTACTTACTTGCCGTATTTTCACTCAAAATTACGCGAAAAGAACTAAATTTTCGAAAGATTGTACCTGTCTTTAGTACAAAATCTGTATTTAAGAAATAGGAAAGTAAGGGGGAAATCTTTACCTTTAATATTTTGGATGGAAGACTCCGGGAAAAAATTGAACTTTGGCCATTTTTAAAAAAATCAGGGTTTTCAACTAAAATGAGACCTGCACCGTTTTTTTAAACATCCTTCACACTACCCAACAACAAACTTTAGTCAAAAACTGAGTCTTTTTTTGATAATTTAGAAAATGTCGCAGGGACTTCGTGTAAACTATTCCCCCAAAATTCAAATATGTTTCAAATTGAAGGGGCCGCAACATCCGCCAGATCGATTGGAGAATATCAAATTTGGAGGAAATCGACTGCACGGTTTAGCCGCTAGTGTTGACGGATAGACGCGTTTTGCCGTCATGCGATTTCTGTATCAGGGGCCCACAAAACATGGATTTGGGTTACACTACATGTTAGATTTTTCTAAGTTTAGCAACTGAATTTATCCACTTTTTCGTTACCTGGACCCTGTAGTAAGTTTTTCTTCCGAAAATTCGCGCAGCATTACATAACGTTCTCTCTTTTCTATAGCGAGAAAAAATGGAAATGATAAATAATGTATTATAGTATTGGTTAACTTGTTATATGTTTAAAGTTACTAGTTGTTTTTTTTTATTCGATAGGATTAGTGGTGTTGGAAAAGTTTGTAATATTTGCCATTTATTTACGTTTATTCGAATGTATACAATGCGAAAGGATAAACTAGAAGTGAGTAATACGAAGGGCGTTCAAAAAGTTCCTGGATGGTTCAGCAATATAATGTTATGGTCTATGGCAATGCTTACCTATTCACCTTCAAAGTAGAACCCTTGTGCGCACACACACTTGCTCCATCGTTCCTGTCATCGTTGAAAGCAACGGGGGAAAGCTTTTGGAATGTGTTGGAAACGAGCCGTCGCATTCGATTTGATGTCCTCCACGGTTGCGAAACTTCTCCCTTTGAGGTCCATTTTGAGAGTAGAGAACAGC